CATACTCACGGGTTCCCATTTTACAGCTGGGTGAACTGAGACAGTGTAGATCTAAGTATCTTGTCCAAGGATACTACGCAAATGTGCCCATCTCGGGATATTTTGTTTCAATTGGTGTAGGGGGATTCCCGCCAATACACCTTGATATAAAATTGGATCAAAATCTATTAATTCTTTCCTAAGTTCGCGGCTACCAAGCTTGGCATGTGCAAAACTGTTACACCTTCGCTGTGACCTTTAAAATGACCTCAATGTCACTAAATTCAAGTGGTGTCGGTAAATCTCGTCAATAAACCTTGGTACCAAATTTGAACAAAATCCATCATTTCTTTCTCGAGTTCTTTCAGTAAACCGAAGGGGGAGTCATTTGAACAAGCGATTGTAGTTTCAAATTGCCTTTTTGTGCAGTTTAATATCTACGTTTGATTCTAGCCGACCTCTACCAATCTCAAACATACAAAAATGTTTCTTGCATATATTGTTTAATGAAGTTTAATTTGTGATGCATGTCATTGCTAGTCAGCTAGGCTATTCCATTTGTCCGAACCACAACATACGGAGACAGATCATTAAGCAGACCGGGTGCTGTACTCTGGAATTGATTACTTGAAAATGTCAGAAAATCGGAAAATATCAACAGTTTCCGATCTTGTCCCAAAACCACCCTCTTCAAAGGAGCATTCGACTAAGTGCACATGAGCAGGACTCTGGATATGTAGCGCTATACAAATGTCTAATTTGATTTGATTTGATTTGATTTGATATACCCGTTAGAAACCCACCCCCACCCCACTTTATATTTATACATATCAAAACCTCAAAATATATTTGCGAAAAGACATGATACAGAGGACAGTAAGAGATTTTATATCGATTATATATCAGGACGAATATCATTTTTGTCATTTGGCAAAGATTTGTCAATTCTTTCTTGGGTATCGCGCTAACAATCTTTATATTGGCAAAACCCTCAGATTTTTGCTGTGACCTTGAAAATTATCTCAAGGTCACTCCATTTCACTTGTGTCGGTGAATCTCGCCAATATACCTTGGTACCAAATTTGAACAAAATCCATCATTTCTTTCTTGAGTTTTCGCCCTAACAAGCTTATTAAATTTTGATGTATGAAATGCAACGAAAAACATACACCCGCGTATTTACGAGTGATTAAAACTGTTATTACAATTTACGTAAATATTTATTACATTTTACCGCAACGAAAATTATTACAATTTACGTCAATTTTTATTACAATTTGCGTATTACAATTTACGTCAATTTTTATTACAATTTACGTTTTTATTACAATTTACGTCAAGTTTATTACAATTTGCTGCAAGTATTACAATTTGCGTTTTTATTACAATTTACGTCGTAACAGAACCTCTTTCTTGGACATATTCCGAATATAAGGAACATACAACCTAGGATAGGAGTTTGTGTACAGAGCACAAGACGTCATATGGAGTTGGGCCTTATTTAGGTGCGTGTAGACAGGGAGTAATGATAATCAACGATTTGAGGTAAGTGTAAACGTACAAATAGTGAGTAATGATAATCAACATATTGTGTTATATATACACGTACAAATAGGTAGTAATGATAATCAACATATCGTGTTATATATACACGTACAAATAGGTAGTAATGATAATCAACATATCGTGTTATATATACACGTACAATAGGTAGTAATGATAATCAACATATCGTGTTATATATACACGTACAAATAGGTAGTAATGATAATCAACATATCGTGTTATATATACACGTACAAATAGGTAGTAATGATAATCAACATATCGTGTTATATATACACGTACAAATAGGTAGTAATGATAATCAACATATCGTGTTATATATACACGTACAAATAGGTAGTAATGATAATCAACATATCGTGTTATATATACGTACAAATAGGTAGTAATGATAATCAACATATCGTGTTATATATACACGTAGTAATGATAATCAACATATCGTGTTATATATACACGTACAAATAGGTAGTAATGATAATCAACATATCGTGGTACACGTACAAATGGGAGTAATGATAATCAACATATCGTGTTATATATACACGTACAAATAGGTAGTAATGATAATCAACATATCGTGTTATATATACACATACAATAGGTAGTAATGATAATCAACATATCGTGTTATATATACACGTACAATAGGTAGTAATGATAATCAACATATCGTGTTATATATACACGTACAATAGGTAGTAATGATAATCAACATATCGTGTTATATATACACGTACAATAGGTAGTAATGATAATCAACATATCGTGTTATATATACACGTACAATAGGTAGTAATGATAATCAACATATCGTGTTATATATACACGTACATATAGGTAGTAATGATAATCAACATATCGTGTTATATATACACGTACAATAGGTAGTAATGATAATCAACATATCGTGTTATATATACACGTACAAATAGGTAGTAATGATAATCAACATATCGTGTTATATATACACGTACAATAGGTAGTAATGATAATCAACATATCGTGTTACACAGAAATGTACAAATAAGAAGGAATGATAATCAAACGCATGTAAATGCACAAATATGGAGTAATGACAATCAACAGTTCGTTTTACTCTCTATAAAAGTACAAATAGTGAGTAATGATAATTACCGGTTTGTTTAAAATATAAACCCACAAATAGGAACCAATGATAATCACCGGTTCGTGTAAATGTAAACGCCCAAAAGGGACGTAATGATAATCACCCGTTCGTGTAAAATGTAAACGTACAAACAGAAAGTCATGATAATCACCGGTTCTTGTAAAATGTAAACACACACACACACATATGGAGTAATGGTAATCAACAATTTGTGTTACGCGTAGATGCACAAATAGGGAGTAATGATAATCAGCGGAATGTGTTATGTGTCAACGTACAAATGGAGAGTAATGGTAACCATTGGTCCGTGTTGCCTATCAACGTGCACATAGGAAGTAATCAAGATCCAAGATTCGTGCATTAGCCTGTATCTTTGTTAGCATGCATTGTCGTATGTTTAAACAGTCAGTGTATTTGCTTGGGTTATCAGTTTTCCTTGTTAGGTGTTTGGCGGGTGATAAGGGTGTTAAAGGTGATAAAGGTGTTAAGCTTTCAAGATTATTGTACTTGTATAACGACGTACATGCACGTGTGTTTTGTAACTTTTGTCTTAGTGTGAATGCTTGCTGTAGTCATGATTAACGCCGGTTTCATAGTGTTACCCTCATGAGCATGCCGCAGTTCTAACCTGGATCCCCCTAGTAGATGCAGTATACTCACTGCAGGCCGGCCAGTACCCGTTTATCCCCTAAATAAGAGAGCCGGACACAGTAACAAAAACAGTAGTATAACGTAGGTCAGTATGACGCGGTCAGGGGATAGACTCACCAAACATTGTTATCGGGGCACATACTCTGTCCACTACACCGTAGCGGCGGTTCAAAACGATAACCTGGCCGTCAAGGATTTGGTCTTTTTTTAATAAAAACACGCCATCTCACTATAAATCTAGTACTGTTGTTCATTGTTGCGGTGGGAATCTCCACATCCACGACACCTGAGGCTTGGTTGTGTATGTTGTCGTGATAGTAAACAGTTTTGGGGGAATAAGAGGTGTCCTAGTATTAAGGTGTTTGGGGGAGTAAGGATGCCCTTGTGTAAAGGTGTTTTGTGAGTAACGTCGGTCCAATTGTTAAGATGTTTTGGGAGTTACGGGTGTCCTAGTGTTAAGGTGTTTGGGGGAGTAAGGATGCCCTTGTGTTAAGATGTTTTGTGAGTAACGTCGGTCCTAGTGTTAAGATGTTTTGTGAGTAACGGGTGTCCTAGTGTTAAGGTGAATACATGGCACGTTTTATGGATAACAACTTATTTTTATTCTTTACACGACTTTTCAGAGCTAATTCTCGCTCCTTTGTACACTCTCCCTCCATGCATTGTGTAAATATTTTTCTGTCAATATATATTCACTCTTTGGACTGACTCAGCATTCACCTGATGAAGGAGCAAGAATTAGCTCTGAAACGTCGTGTAAAGAATAAAAAGAAGTTGTTATCCATAACACGTGTCATGTATTCATGTTCATCCAACTTCTAAATGCCTTTCAAAAACTTTAGTGTTAAGGTGTTTTCGGGAGTAACAAGTGTCCCAGTGCTAAAGTGTTTTGTGGGAATAACGTCGGTCCTAGTTTTAAGGTGTTTTCGGGAGTAACAAGTGTCCCAGTGCTAAAGTGTTTTGTGGGAGTAACGTCGGTCCTAGTGTTAAGGTGTTTTGTGGGAGTAACGTCGTGTCCTAGTGTTAAGGTGTTTGTGGGAGTAACGTCGGTCCTAGTGTTAAGGTGTTTTGGGGAGTAACGTCGGTCCTAGTGTTAAGGTGTTTGTGGGAGTAACGTCGGTCCTAGTGTTAAGGTGTTTGTGGGAGTAACGTCGGTCCTAGTGTTAAGGTGTTTTGGGAGTAACGTCCTAGTGTTAAGGTGTTTGTGGGGAGTAACGTCGGTCCTAGTGTGTTAAAGTAAGGTTTTGTCCCAGGGAGTAACGTCGGTCCTAGTGTTAAGGTGTTTTTGGGAGTGTCCTAGTGTTAAGGTGTTTGTGGGAGTAACGTCGGTCCTAGTGTTAAGGTGTTTTGGGGAGTAACGTCGGTCCTAGTGTTAAGGTGTTTGTGGGAGTAACGTCGGTCCTAGTGTTAAGGTGTTTTGGGGAGTAACGTCGGTCCTAGTGTTAAGGTGTTTTGGGGAGTAACGTCGGTCCTAGTGTTAAGGTGTTTTTGGGAGTAAAGTTAAGTGTGTTTTGGGAGTAACGTCGGTCCTAGTGTTAAGGTGTTTTGGGGAGTAACGTCGGTCCTAGTGTTAAGGTGTTTTGGGGAGTAACGTCGGTCCTAGTGTTAAGGTGTTTTGGGGACTGAATATGAGGCCTGGCGTTGAGAGAAAATGATGTCCCGTCGATCTGGGTATCTAGTCATGGTCGTGGATCGCCGTGGCTTCTTGAAGCACGTTGCTGCTCTGAAACGATCACATTAAACTACATCATCAGGTGTTCTAGAACTTGTTTCCCAAAACAACACACAACGAAGCTATGATTTGAAATGGATAGTCATATGCATTCAACATTGCAGCCGCGTGTGATTGTACTAGTCCGTACTAGTCCCGGTTTTATAGTGCTAGCCCACTGAGATACCATCCTCTGTCATACCTTGGTACCAGACTACGACACAGTATACTAACCACACGCCGACCAGTCTTTGTTTCAGTCCCTTATGCCGGGTGCCAGTATAACATTACAGATCCAATGACTGAGGCCGCTGTTGGTGCAGAGACTAACACCCCAGACTCAGTATCTTGCCATGAAAATACTGGTGCTGTAGGCGGTATTGCATCTTTGGTTTCATTTGATCATAGTGGCGTTTGCAAAGGTTTTGTATAACACTAACTCAAAACTTGATCAACTAACGTTGTTAGAAAGGACAAAGAATTCAAATATAATTGAAACTAATAATGTTAAACAGAACGAGGCCAACAAATTGGCGGTTTGGGTGTTTATCATGGAAAGGGATTTGTTGCTTTTATTTTCTGGGCAGGGGTCAAGGGTTGATGAGTCGAAATGTTTTTCAATGCTCTGGCAGACATACACGCATGCTGAACACATAAACTACCAATGATGAAGTCATACAGAATTAACATGTATTCTAGTCTCTCATGAATAGTATCGTCACGTTTCTAATGTACCAGGATACCCACCCATTTGTAGAAAGTAGCCAGCCCCGCGCTGACCTCTCTGACGTCATCCATCGTATACTTCTGAAGCAGCATCCTGGCTCTGTCCGCTGTCCGGACATGCAGCTTGTCCAGGTTGAAGGATTTAATCCGTGTAATTATTTGGAAACTTGGAATAAGTTGCTTTTGAATCGCACTCCAACTCTACAACAAATTAGAAATCAGCGAAAGAGTGCAGGAGAGCGTCAACTACTGTACTATGAATATAAATAGCACTGACTATACCTGTGACATTTTTGTTCTTTCAATTTTAAACTAAATGCAGGTATTGGAGAAGACACCAAATACAATGGACGGTTACAAGCACTGTGAACTGCTTCTGCGGGTCATTTATATTTTAATAACCAATTTATAGTAAGCAGAAGTCGACAACATAGATTTGACGGTAAATTGTTAAATGTGTAGAATATCTTAAACTTGCGAGGAATGGATTACAATTTGGATGTTTCTGCGGTACCTCCAGTTCATTCTGACGGTGTCCCAGTGTTATGAACGTGGCTTTCATTACGTCCACGATCAGTGGGTTAGTGTCCTTGTAGCCGTGGATCTCAGCAACAGTTCCGTTCTTCATGGCCAGGATTGGACTCAGGAACCGTTCAAGTCGTTTCTGTTGCTGGAGGAATCTGTGAGCTTTCTGAATAACCTGGGAGTTCTGGAGTTCGTCTTCAATAGCGCTGGCTTCAATACTATTCAGGGAAGACTCTAGCCTCTTTAGGTTCTTCTTGGTCATTTCCTTCTCAACAGCTGCGGAATGTAGGAATAAATTACTTTTACGATGACAACAATCGACGCATATCAAATCTCACATCCAAACTGATAAATAGTTTGTCACAGTTATGTCTGGAGAGACGTACATACAAAGATGCGTTGCGTAAAATTACTGGGCAAAAAAAGCAAAACATTTCCGGCCTCGTAGAATCCTGCTTTGTGAATTTTATTACATCTGAATGAAACATTACTTGGTCACTTCGAATGTAAATTCTCAGGTCTACTGTTCTGGGTCTAGTTCCCGTGGGCTCTTTCTTATGTATCATTTCAATTGTTACAGTACAACCAGAAATTACTGAGAATTTAAAGATTGTAAATTTTTTAATTTTTTCACTCATTACTCACGTATTAAATGTGAATATTAGCAGAATATACCTCCAGATTCAAAGACAGGTGAACAGTTAGTATTTTGTCAAGTCACCATGGGCAGCAATGCAGGCTTCATATATATATTGTTCATATTGTTTATACTAGAAACCAATTAAACATATTCTTAAAATTCTCAATAATTTCTGGTCATACTATATTACAACGGTATATACCTTCCTCATAAAGACTACGCAGAACTATCCTGGCTTCGGTCAAATCGCCCTTGTCTTGTAGGTTGGCGTCCTGAAAGCATACTATTGCAGCTTCTAGACCCTCCTCTTCCTGGCCTTGGTGGCGCTAATTAGTCGATCTCGGATGTCAGATTCCATCTGTCCATCGATCTCTGAAGACAAGCCAATAGGGATACTATTGATGATGTATATAGATACAGGATAGCTGACTTGGCTGACACATGTCATCGTATCCAAGCGGCGTAGATTAATGCTCATAATGTCAATCACTGGATTATCTGGTCTAGACTCGAGTATTTATAAACTGCCGTCATAGCGCGATTAGTGCTGTGTCGTTAACAACAAACAAACCCATCGCTGAGAGATTTATTTAGGTAATGTTTCAGCATTATCTCCAAGTAAAGATCTTGTTATATCATTGCCCGTCACGTGTATGGTGTTTGAGCGGTAAGCCCATACACCTCTATCATCATCACCCCCACTCTAACCCGTCCCAGCATTTACTCACCCTCCTGCTCCAAGTCCGCCACCATTGCCCTGGCTATCAACAACAGTTCCTGTAGGTCGGGATAACCTGACCCGTCCGCGGCGGCAATCGCCTTCTCCAAATCTGCCAGGCTGCGTTGTTTCAGTGCCTTCTTCAAATTTCGTTTAAGTGAGTTGATCTCCTCTTCCTTTATTCCTATAAAATACGTGAACATTCTTTTTCAGAAGTATGTATGTAGATATGGATGGATGGATGTATTCAGAACGGTAGAAACAGATTGAAGCGAAAACAATAACTATTCATTTCAGTGTTGGAATGAATGACGTTTAGATGTTTTTCCTAAGGCTGAGGAGGTTGTCTCACGTTGTTTCCTAAGTTTGTCCAACTTAAGCTTTGCTTTCCTCAGATCCCCACTTGTGTCTTTGAGTTTAGCTACTTCAAACTCTTTGATTGCTTTCTGCAGGGTGCTGATCTTGTGGCCTCCAAGGGCGATCTGCAGGTTCTTCCGAACTTTGTCCTTGGTACACAAATAGAACACTATGGTTGGGGTACTTGCTATAAATGTGGAAAGGGTTTTGTCGCTTCTATTTGTGAGAGGAATTGAGTTTAGATGGATGATGCTGTAAGGGCCATGTCTTTAATTCTTGAATATTATGAATAGTATATAACATCACCATGACAAGTATCACATGGATTTGTTTTCCAGGGTCCCGGTCCTCAAAGCGTTCGTAGGGCAACGACATTCTTAAGACTATGGTAAACTATAGAAGTACGACAGGTCGTAACGTTACGAAACTTTTGTGGATCGGACCCAGGTTCCGCAGATACCACCATAAGATTTGGGCTTGTTCATTTGAAAAAGTTTTGAAAAAGAAAGTATGAAAACACCTACCTCTTGAATCTTCTCGAAATCCTCTTTCCGACTCGTCAGCAAGTAGTTGACGACGTTGTTGTCTTTCTTCTCTTCCCCTGTGTAAATCTGAAGAGCATACTCCTCATTGTCTCCGTCCTCTGGCATCGTCACATGGATCTTAACGTTCTTGTCCTTGACTTCCTGATCCACATATTGATCCAGTTCCTCTGACTGCAAGTTGTTGTGGCGCAGCCGGGCGACAACCTGCATCCTCGTCGTCATCTGGAAGCTGAATGTCTTAATCGTGCGCCTCTGCATCACAACCACCCCGGATTTGTGTGAAGGAGCCTCTAAACCATTAACCTTGGCTGTTTGACCAAAACCAAATCCAATGGGAGGATTTATTGGAAACATGTTTTTGTTTTCCGCCCTTTCGTTCACCACCAGTTTGAAGGCCGCGATGGGTACAGCAATAATCCCCAGCAAGTTGTACTTGATAGACAGTTTATATATGCCGGCCACGTGGAATCGTACAACAAGTCTAACGTGTTTTCCGTTAGTTTCCAGGAAAACACATCGTGGCAGTTCAATTCCGTCTGGCAATTTATCTTTTGACTGTTCTTCATCAAAATACAGGTCGTATGCAAGATGTGATTTCGTGTCTTTCGTTTGCTCAAATTCCAGCTCGCATTTTCCATTTTCAGACAGAAGAATAGATTTGTGTTCGCGTATGAGTTTGTAGCCTGATGTGAAGTACCTGAACTGAAAACGAGGCACGTTGCAAAATCTATGAAGGTCCCACGTGTCTTTGATAAGCTGCCATTCTCGTTTCTCCGCCATACAAGTATAGACAAACTCGTCGGGATGTGGCAGAAAGAAATCTTCCCCTATCCTCCTTATGTTTATTCCTTGTCTGGCTTGAGCTCTCTCCCTTGTCCCTTTGCCATCAGCCTCTATTTTGACCCATTTCCCACTGTCATGACCGATAACTCCCGTGAAGGCCCACATTGGGTGGACAATTTGCCACGACCCGTCAACGTAGACGATGTTCCAGGTTGCCATCAATCTACTGACGTCCTGATCGCCAACCTCATAGCCCAGGCTTTTGACATGACCCTTGACTATGACACATGGTAGTTTTGCAGCTCTGAGGAAAATCACATTGACGAATATCTTTTTTAAATGTCTCACAGTAAGTACATACCATGTAGATTGTTTAACACGATGGCGAACAAGCAGTTAGAATATCAATGTTGGTGAATTTATTACGTTCGATACATTGTTATTTATCCATTGTTATTCTATAGCTATTGTAACTTAGACATATTCTCTCACTCGCCCTTTCTGAATATTCTCTACAATACGTACCGACACAAAAGGGCAAAGAAGGAGGCATATGACCCTTTCTTCAGCTTCATCAGTTTCATATATCCACGTGGTGTCCGACCATCGGTCACTCCCGGGTAGAACTGTTGGTCGAAGTCCTGGTGGCCCACCCAGATGAACAGGGCTCGGACTCTCTCCAGGTCAGTGCTCAGGCCACTAGTCAGGTCAGAAGCTAGTGCTTCAAATGTGGTGTTGTCCGTGACGGTAACCTGCACGTCAGTTGAAAGCATCCGTCAATAGATCAGGGAAATGGATTCTCTCAGTCGAGGCTTGTTTTCAAACTAAGGATTTGTCTGACCAACATGGCGTTATATGTACACTTTGGTGGATAGTTTCAGCAAAAGAAACGTGTCAAACACTCTTGATATGCGTTTATCATCGCATGACATTTAGTTCACAGTCTTCGACACACAATACATAATCATAGAGAATGTACAAACCGATTAGAACGATACCATATAACTACCCATTTTATAAGAACACTGTATTTATGAGGGATCATTAACATATATATAATATTTCACTCAGGCGAGCATATCTGGTGGTATCATTTTACATTTCGGCATTTAAGTACAAAAAGTTTTAAATACAAACACGAACAAAAGGCTGTGAAAATCTGATTACACAATGATCGAAGTTTAACGATACCTGACTTGCTCGGCTGTCAAGGTTTTTGCTGTTTGTTACGTCGAACACATCTCTCTTCTTCCACTTGGGAGGTGAAGGAGATTTATACCCTTTCACAAAGTCAGGGACGTCGATCTTTAAACAGGAAAGGTCATGGGTTCTGTAGCTAACCTCGCCATCTGTATTCTAATATATGTAGTAACGTATATTAGGTCATGTGAAAAGGGTAGGGGAACTACACCAATCTTGCCCAAGTCTCCCTATACTCATGTCCGCGAAGGAATCCTGAATACTGTTCCACATAGTAGTACGATCATCGCCTGTCATGTTGACACTAACTCTTTCCGTTTGCAAGAAAACATCAGTTTAAACTCAGAGTTCGTTCTTCGATTCAGATGCATCATAAACATAGTTTTGTTATGAATAACTAAAATGAATCAAAATATTTATACAGGTATCTGAATATGAACCAGACGAAGGTGTTTCAAGGATGGTCCTGCCATCTAAAGCGCCATAAGTCGCTTTGAGTTGCCTCCCTTGGTCATGCAAGATCTTTGATCGTTGGTTCGAAACCTGGTTAGTCCCGCTTATGTTTCTAGGTTTGTGAACATCATGGTCGCGCTCATGTTTTTTACGTCCTGCATCACTTCGGGTTTTTCCCCCACATTAAACAGACATGTGGAGGTGGGTAAATATATTCTACTCGTTCGATTTCCAATTCAATTAATTCTACAGTTACAGGTCTACATGGAATACACAGTATGTTAATCTCCTCCTCAATAAGACCTTCCCCAAACCTGCTATCTCTGACTGTTAAATATAAACACTGAAAGAGACATGACCGATAATGCTGAACACGAACAGCAATCGTGTTGATAAGTCGTTACCTAACCTTACGATAAGCTTGTAGAGAGTTATCGAGATGTCAGGCTCTCTCATACTAACACTTCCGGGTCTGGCTAACTGTCAATGGCAACGCAAGGAGAATGTAAACAACATGTTCTTAAACAAAACTTATATTGCCTTTAACTCAAATTAAAGTGCTATTTGGCCAGTATGTCTCACATTATCTTTGAACGATTCTAAGACCTGTAGATTATGTGGCTATAACACGTCCGTCTTGTGATTTAATGCTTATAACTGTGTATTACGTGCGAATACAGGTATACAATGGTTGTGTGACACGCTCGTAAATAAAGCGGCACAACCTTTTCATGAGACATATATGCTGAAAGCAGGACCCATTATACATCCTGCCCCACTGGTGACACCCGTCAGAAACACATGCAGAGGCAAGTGAATTATTAACAAAGATAAAACACTGACTAATTTACTTGCGCTCTTCGTCGCAACAACAGGGCGCACAAGTCTAGACGTTCCATAGACAAGAGTACCCTCCTTTCGTGAAGGGCAATTACTCGAGTAAGGCGGGCGACTGATCGACGTGAAAGGCAATCACTGACATGGTTGAAAACGTATCTCCGAACAGTGTTTGCCTATACATGGTAGTTATGCCTCTGTCGCAAATAAAAGGTTCAGTTGGAACTATATAGCGAAACAATATCTAAGGGAACAATTGAAATATGTTCCAAATATATCTTCTAGAGATACCAATAAATGTTGGAGAGTTATCTGTTCTGCTGGCATCAACACTTGTGATGTACCTACAGTGCTTACCCTCTCATTACACTCTCATGTCAGCAATAAAAGATAGCTGGTATTTCGGCATTCTATAACAGGGTTTAGTGCAGAGCGTTAATGAGTAACATACTTTCATAATACTTTATATTTATATAAGTCAGTCAAGGTGATGAAACGTAATGCCAACATGCAAGATACAGTACAACCAGAAATTATTGAGAATTTAAAGATTGTAATTTTTTTTTTTTTTTCACTCATTACTCACGTATTAAATGTGAATATTAGCAGAACATAACTCCAGATTCAAAGACAGGTGAACAGTTAGTATTTTGTCAAGTCACCATGGGCAGCAATGCAGGCTTCAATGCGGCGGGGCATACTACTGATCTAAGAAGTTAGAAAGTCGTGGTCCATGCTGTCCCAATATCGGACCACCTCTTCTTTCATTTCAGCAATATTTGTCAGATTTTTCTTATTGACACTTTCCTTCATAAGTCCCCAAACATTTTCTATTGGATTTAGGTCAGGGCTATAGCTTGGCCAATCTAATAATGTCATATTTTGGGTCCGAAACCAGGCCTGTGAATGCTTTGAACGATGTTTTGGGTCGTTGTCCTGCTGGAAAATCCAAAAATTTCCATAGAACACGTGAGCAGATGGAAGTAAATGTCCCTCGAGAATATCAGTGTACCGCTCACTGTTCATATTCCCTTCAAATACACAGAGGGGCGTTGCCCCTAACACAGATATGCCACCCCACACGTTAAATTTCGGACTGTACTTTGGGCGCTGATACAAAGGTTTTTCAGTTTGTTTGGTCCAGAATTTCAGTGTATTGGGAAACAGCCACACAGAACTTTCATCTGAGAAAATCACATTGTCCCAGTTAAAATTTCTATGCTGTAAGCACCAGTTCAACCTTCGCTCCTTTTGTTCAGGTTTCATGATCGGTGATGGAATTCCTCGACTTTTCTGTCAACCCATTGCATGCAGCTCAGTTCTAATTGTCCCCTTACAGACAGCCACAGTTCCTCTTCAATCATATCCAGCCTTAAGTTTTCTAAACTCCTTCGTTTGTTTTTAGAAACAAGAATACCAAGCCGCCTCCTGTCACCGACAGTCAACTTTCTGGGCCTACCTGCGCCTCCCTGGTGCTCAATGCCATATCCATTTGCAATATTTTTCAAAACACGATAAACAGTGGACAAAGGGATGCCTGTTCTACTTGAAATCACTTTAGCTGATCTGATGCCCTTGTAATAATACTCTAAAATCAACTTCCTCTTCTCTAAATCATCCATACTGAGGATCACTGAAAATGTCGTCTGCTAGCAAGTAAACAAAGGGGGATAACTCTTCACAAACTAATGAAAAAGGATTAATGGAGTTGTCTCTCTTGAATGAAACCAAGCACTTGATAGCTGGTCAAGGTTGTTTATACTAGAAATCCAATTAAACATATTCCTAAAATTCTCAATAATTTCTGGTCATACTATATCATCTAAGCTACATGATTTGGTTGCAGTTGTGTGATATATGCAAGTGGTTTGGTTTGGTTTGGCAGTTGTTTTACTCCGCACTCAGCAATATTCCATCTATATGGCGGCGGTCTCTAAATAATCGAGTCTGGACCAGACAATCCAGTGATCAATGACATGAGCATCCATCTACGCTATTGGGAACTGATGACACGTGGTCAACCAAGTCAGCGAGCCTGGCCAACCGATCCCGTTAGTCGCCTCTTACGACAAGCATGGGTTGCTGAAGATCAATTCTAACCCGGATCTTCACAGGTGATATATGCAAGTGAGTAGATGAGCCACAATGTCACTTGCCGTAAGGCTACTTACTGGGTCTATGTCCGGATCGTCCGTTAGCACCTGCTGGCTGGCTCCACAACCCATCCTGATCACAGTCTATGCTGTATCCCCTGAAGCTGAACACAATTGTAAATTATGTATCAACTCATTTGTACATATTGTCCAAAACATCTTGATCATCGTTTCATGGTGAAATTGTCAAAACAGACGGGGACAATTACGTAGTTACATAGCATAAAGTTTTAAATAAAACTGACATAATCCGTCCTGTCAAAAACAAATTCCATATCCATGCATGCATGTTAGCATAGATACATGTATAAATACTTACATGTGTAAATTGGCAGCCTTCTTCTAAACGCAATTTCCTTTCGGGCATTCAAAATGTATCCTAAATTTGCAGTAGCTAGGTACACTCTGTCAATCAAAGTGGAAATGAACATGGAACCCACAGTGGATGATGTCCCTATCAATGCCTGAACTAAACAGTATCACTGCACTGGTCGTTGTCACTGCTGTGGGCGTGTAAGCTAAACAGTATCACCACCACTTCGGTTGTTGCCCCCTGCTGTGGGCATGTTAACTGAATTCCACGTACCACATTGTCGCAAACGAAAAGAAACTCTTTTTTGTTACGGACAGATTGTTGTTTGAATGAGAGGTATTTTCAGTATGTGTACACAACGATTTAGGCATTGCAACGTTGATCGGGAAGTTGTCCTAAGGGCCCGATCTCCTCTCAGCAGGTCTACCCATCGCAGAGCAGTTCAAACATAGCCTTGTTGTGGAGACACACTTGTACCACAGGCAGCAGGGTGACAATTCTGTGATGACCTTCTCTCAAGACGAAGGACTCTGAACTGTCTTGAAATCGTTGTGTTGTTGTTGTGTTGTATGTTACCTCATATGTTAAAAGTGGAAATGTAACTAGACTTTGCACTTCTTCAATCTGATATCACAAACAGGCGATCATTCACCTAGGTTCGAAAGTGTCAATATATGTTTTATCCTTGATATACTGCTGTGGTTTTTGTTCTTGTCAAAAGCTTCTAACCTGTTTAACAGATAACGTTTCTGTTATCCCTGAGTTTTACGGTGATATACATATCCGTCGCTTGTTCTGTTGGACTTATGTTATATAAATATTCATCTAATCGTGTTGTGATCCATTTGGGTACTGATGGACCGTAGTTTCGGATATCACATAGTTGGTGTATAACGGTAATTGGAATACAACTGGTGGGGAAATGGGTCTAAAATACAGCCATGTGACCTCTAATGAAAATGTGCCCACACATCGACCCGGAAGCGAGGCAGTGCTTTCTGATACGTTTTGAATTGTCTTGATGTTTCGTTATGTTACTGAAAAGACAAGACTTGAATAGAATTCTGAACATGTTTTACTGGGGCGAGTGTATGACAATGCTCGTTATTGATTGTTTGTTTGTTTTTTCGCTGCATTCAACAATGTGGTATGTGCAGTCTGTAATTAACTCAGCGGAAAACGTTTTTGTGACATGGATATTTTAATTGGTAACCCTGTGAATGATTTTTGGGATTTGTACCAGTGAAAGAGTTTGTTAAAATGTTCGAAATGCACGTGTGATGTGACTTCATTGTGTATCTATGAAATTTGTTTCAAGTATAACACATTGGTGTGCTATATTTAGACTTGTACTATATTAGTTCTGGAAGGTACTTCAGGATACTACAGGTCTATGGTGCTTCCCACTATATGTTGACCCAGGAAGTTGGGAATCATCCGGAGTCGTTTTCAAAAGTATGTAAGGGAGTTAACTCTTATCTCACATTACATCTTATGTTACCAAAAGCCCAGCATTAATATATGATGATCACTATACCCCGGATTCTGTGACTTTCTTGCAAGCTGGATTACTGTTGGTGACAGGTGAGTCACTGTCTTCATTGCTACGATCACTGGTCTTGTATTACATTACCTCTGAATTTGTTCAGCCACTCTAATTTGTACTGTCCTGAAATAATGATGCCTTGTAGTTGTATGGATATGTGAACTAAGTTAATTTTAGAATACAATTGCTGATTGCATCACATTTCTGCGTTGTTCATTAGTTTCACACCTTGTTCTTTGACAGAATGATTCCTGGTTAACCTTCTAGTTTCAATCTGGGAATCAAAATCTAGGAAATTTGAAGGAAGTATGACACATTCGAGCAACATAGCCACCATTTTGTTCACTTTAGAAGGCCAGACAACCAGACGCCTATCACTTCCACTCAGTGCATTCATAGAAAATGTAGAGGGGAAACATCTCCATTCATCGTTCTGAAACAAGCTCCACAAGCTACGCCGCGGGGAAATATAACAGATGGAGAGCTAAAAGTACAGCTGCATACCAAAAGTCCGTTACATTCGTTAATCAGGCTTTATTACTGGCAAACAGGTACATATTTTGGCAGTTATAATAAACATCAGTGATGTACAGTTTACAGAATTCTATAACCATGTTAATAAGGAGTATTTCCACCCCTGGACTTGATGCCAGCTTTTATTCGTCGGGGCATACTTTGGTATAATGCTCGGAGGGTGTTATTTGTCAGAGAGTACTAATGTTTCTTAATCGATTCCCAAAGCTCTGAGCTTGACGTAGGCATGCATGTGGCCACTTTCTTTACCAATGATATCCCAGAGGGACTCAATTAGGCTCATGTCAGGAGAATGCCCAGACCAGTCAAGCAGTGGTACCCCTTGGTAGCCCAAACACGTTGTGTGGATTTCAAATTATGTATCTTGCGCAAATGAGGGAAAACGAGACATTCACAGTGTTGCTTGATATCATTTATGAGTATTTGCTGGTACCTCAAACTGTTAAGGGTACCAGGTACCTTTTTCAGGAAACCAAGGCCATTATGTGACATGAGGCCCCTCACATGGACATGGGGTGGGTGCTTTAACGTGCGCTGAGAGCAGTAATGACGATACCTCTCAGTTGAAAAACGCCAAACTTGCATTCGGCGTCTATTACTGAAGCATCTAAATATTGATTCGTCTGAGAATATGACATGGTTCCAATCCTGCACACCAAAATGCTTATGTGCTTTGGCCCAGATAAGTCTCTTTTCCGTTGAGGTCTGTTCACAAATGGTTTCCGGCTTGGTACGTAGCATTTGAGGGCAAATTCATGTGGACCCCTTGACACAGACATATGACTGATGCGTCGGCCTAAAATACCTTGGAGTCGACCTCTTAAAATGTCCAGTCATAAACCTGTCTCTCAGGCACAATCTTCGTATCATTCTGTCTTCAGGATTAGTTGTACATCGGGGCCCACCTGACCTTTTACGATCAGTTACACTACCATTTGCTTTGTATTTCTGGTAGAGCTTTATCATACCATGAATGGAAGCAGTACATTTAAATTTTGAAGCCATGATCTGTTGCACATTCTTTCAAGCCATTCCCGACTCTCTGAGGCCAATTATTTATATGACCCCATTCAACTACTGTTCAATATCGCCATCTGGCCATGCTTTCTAATTAACAGAAGCCTTGAAAACAAGATATTCATTATTTGGAACAAAACTCGGTCTTATTTCCATGGAATATTTGGTGTAAAGTGAATCTATGCCCAAATGTTAATGGTTAGGCATGAATTGTTACTATTTCGGAAATTATTCTCGAATTAGATTAGAGCAATTCATAAAACTGTCATTTTGATAACGGAAACTAGTTACTAGTTTTATTACAGTAATACATTATGATTGTTAGCATGGTAAAAGTACAAGATGGCGCTTGAGTCCACTTACTAGTACTTCCATTCCTGGTACTGCATGGAAAATCCTCTTGAAATGGGTAGGATAGATAAAAGCAATGTATGTGTAACTATAATATACATTTTCACTTTATTTCAAATGGCTACATAATGTTTGTATGTTAGGTGTATCATATCAACACTAATTGATAAGTTTACAACAAACATACCCGAACGATGGAATGATATGTGGAACATTGAGCTTAAATTTGGGAATTTTGTTATGCAGCTGTATGATTCTGTCTGGTGCTCATCGATGTTGAACGTCCACTTATGGCAACGTTTTCCGCAAATCAATCAAGTTATAGGTGGTCCCCGTAGAACCCACCAGTAACCACCCAATGTCAAGACTGTTGGATTCAAACCCACGCATCTCGTACTCAGGTTCCAGCCAGTAACTGTTACAGCCCGTACCATACCTGGCAACTGCGAGAACAATTCCACGACATCTACGCGTATACGGCATCCAAGCAAAACACCCAGCCAGTTCTGACGTCTGAACATCGACGCGACGTCTCCAGCGGAGCAGACAACACTTGCCTTTGGGAGCACGTGAGTGGGAAGAGTTCTCTTCGTGGATGAGACACGTTTGCTTCTTCACCGAGCTGACGGGAGGACAAATGTCTATACAGGGGTACAGGTGAACGTTACATCCGGCCATGTAGTCTGGACGGGGATCGTTTCACAGTTGGTCCGGGGTGTGTTAACAGCTTCAGCAAGGGCACCAGTGATTGAGATTAAGGCAAAGAATGAAATGCTGTGAGGTACCGAAACGAGATTTGCAAATGGTCAGTTTACCATTTTGGCTTCAGAACGACCCTTCAGTGAGGTTTCAGCACGATTACGCCAGGCCACACGCCCGAGTGTACACCACGGTATCTTAATCAAACAAAGTCAATGTGTTCCCCTGGCCCGAAATGATACCCATTGATGAAATTGACCTACGTTTACGACATCATCCGAATCCCCCACCAAAGTTGCAAAAATGGTTTTCCCCTAGTAGTCTATAGTCTGGTGGCCGGAGTGGGGCGAAGGTGGACACACTTGCTACTGACCGTGAGAATTTGCTTGTGAACCCCCTCTTGTGTTGAGGCTCATTTGCATATGCCAGGTATGCTACTGGTATGGACTTTTGATCGTTTGTCTTTAAATGTAATAACACGTTCTGCTGAAGCATTTTCAGCAATAAATCTGTCACAATAAATCTGTCACAATAAATTTGAACAGGAGTTCTCAGCATAGTTTTGGTTTTGACTGAATTTTGAAATATACTGGGCAAAGATAGTTAGGGATATATGTACATTTTGAAATTATGAATAATGATATATTTACTCATTGACACACCGATAAAATATCAATCATAAAAATACCAATATCCCTAACTTATTTTGTCCAGTATATAAAAGTTCAGTTACAATACTCTCCTTTCACAACCAAAAGACATCGACCTCATGAAACAAAACCGGTCAGTCACTTCGAATAATCCTTCTGACAGTAAAACTTTCCTTAAAGACAAACTGATATCCTGAATGAGGTAGTTAAGCCAGCACTGCAAGGACATTCTAGTGTTGGTATCCAGACTCATCTAGTGTCTGTGACATGTGCCTGGCAACACAAGATGTACCTCGTGCCTTTCACTTGTATGATATCTTTACGCACCTCTATAGATCCATATATCATATAGGTGGGATCAAAGTACTAAGATAGAAAGGGGTAGTGGTAGAGCAAGTAACATAGATAAGATACTTTTAAGATCAAGAGTTCAGGAGATTTTGTGAACAAAAAAATGTCACTATGTGATTACTTTTACAATACCATCCTTGAAAAACACCTCACTCACTTTGAAGAATTATCACAGTGGTGTTTGCACTAAAATAAAGGCAGCAGGGGGACCTAATCTGTGCCCTCATTTCTGTACCTCAAATGTTGGTAAACACAGACTACATAGCAAAGAAAACAAACAACTAAAGAAAGTCTCAGCTTCTTATCTCTCAGTTCAGCTTTACATTGTAAGACTGACTGACTGAGTTTGGTTTTACCCCGCTTTTAGCAATATATCAGCAACATCACAGCGGGGAACACCAGAAATGAGCTTCACACATTGTACCCATGTGGGGATTCGAAACCCGGGTCTTCGGCGTGACGAGCCAACGCTTTAACCACTAGACTACCCCACCGCCCCTTACATTGTAAGAGGTGTTGCAGATTCTCGCACTAAATACTGGGGTAAACAGACTTGGAACATGATTTAGGTACCTGTGTGTACAGGTGCGTACATTTCTTACATACGTAACTGACTCACTGAGAGTCCTGGGATACTACAGAATTTACCTACCGAGTACACAGTCTGTGTTTATTTCAATAGTTTACAGGTTAATTCATTGTGTGCTAATAGGTTGTGCAAGAGTAAACAAAGTATGTCTTATTAATTCAACTTAACTGTTTTGTATATATCAAACATCTTTTGCTAAAACTACTACAGTACCATGTTGTGAATCTGTCAATGAGACTAAACAGACAACTAAAAGATCACTTTTTGCAAAATTGCTACCAATCTTTCTTATAGAATCCTCTTCATTGATTGGTTATTACCTCAGTGACAAGATTTTGGCTGTATCACCCAGTATCAAGCCATTCATGAGGATTGGTCAAAATGGTAACACTGACCCTAGTCAAAATGGCCACAACCCCTAGTCAAAATTTCCATACCCAAAAGTCAATATGGCCATAGAAAGTCAAAATGGCCATACTTTGTTTTGTTTGTTTGTGGGGATTGTGGCCATTTTGACTTGGATGTTTTATGGCCATTTTGACTAGGACCCTAGCAGCATCTGTTCTGACACCCTTTGAGGTCACACAATCAACCATGACCTTGAACCTTCATGATGGAGGAAAGAACTGGAACTAAAATGAAATGGCACCATCCTTGATAATGAGTTCTTTGTGTCTACTGAAACTACTCCAAAACATCAGTGCACCATTACAGCACTATGGCGTAAGTCTGTTACAGTATGGGAGTTACTATCACCTTAGCGCTACGACTGTCGTAAGTCTATGTTACAGTATGGGAGTTACTATCACCTTAGCCCTACGACTGTCGTAAGTCTATGTTACAGTATGGGAGTTACTATCACCTTAGCGCTACGACAGTCGTAAGTCTATGTTACAGTATGGGAGTTACTATCACCTTAGCGCTACGACAGTCGTAAGTCTATGTTACAGTATGGGAGTTACTATCACCTTAGCGCTACGACTGTTGTAAGTCTGTTACAGTATGGGAGTTACTATCACCTTAGCGCTACAACAGTTGTAAGTCTATGTTAAAGTATGGGAGTTACTATCACCTTAGCGTTACAAACGCTTTGTGGAACGAGGCCAGGGTTGATGACACCATGCATTATACCCATATGAGCACTCAAACTCTCAGTCTGACCAGCTGGTACTTTCACCACTACACCTAACATCTTCCTAAACAAGCTCACTACTATTACATCTCCCCTGGACCTTTAGTGTTTCATCCACACTTCACGACAGATGCCTCAGTTTCTGTAAAAATAGGCTGCCACCCAAAACACTGAAAATATTCCAATGACAATGAACCAACTAAATGGACTTTTTACTGGCAAAGTAAAACTCATTGTCCATAATGGCACATTTGTCGTTTAATCAGAAGCATGTCTAAACTTGTCAGTTGACTGGTCCCTACACCAGGTATTGACCATCAAAAGACTGACTGAGTTTGGTTTTACGCCGCTTTTAGCAATATTCCAGCAACATCACGGCGGGGGACACCAGAAATGGGCTTCACACATTGTACCCATGTGGGGATTCGAACCCGGGTCCTGGGCGTGACGAGCCAACGCTTTAACCACTAGGCTACCCCACCGCCCCTGACCATCAAAAGAAGTGAAACAAAGAATCATTGATGGTTGGGAGAAGAGTTTGAGAGTCAGTGAGTTGAGTACGATGTGTCAACAGTCATTTTGATGACATATTCAGGGGTGTAGCTACCATTATAAAAAAAGCCCAGGCTTACACATGATTTTTGCTAAAAAGGTTGGGCAAGCCCTCAATACTATCTAAATATAAAGCTTTGCAACCTATCGGGCTTACACGAAATAAATGGCTTGCTACATGCCTGATATTGTCAGGTCTTTTAGGAGCAAGGCCGAGAGTCAGACAAATAGGTTTCTTCACACACTTGTCAAAACCAGGGGAATTTTGAACTATCTTCTTGGCATGTTTTAACGTCGCAACTCTGCATAGTGAATTGCCTCACCTGCTGATGACCCGAGATCCTGGTCTCCAATATTAGCAAAGAATAATCCAATAGTAACTGATTATCTAAAGACTGGAATATTGCGGAGTACGGCTTTAAACAACAGCTGAGTGTGGCTTTAAACAACAAACTAACTAATAGTAACTAACATAAGAATCTTTGAGGATACAACAAAACATAATATTAATATAACAAACAACAGTATTACTTCTTAGATTTTTTATTTACATATGTACACTAGTGATGAGAGCAGACGTCAAACTGTCTGAGCAGAGGTGGATGGTGTGAGGGCGATGTTCGGGGTGGTGGCCGTGTCTTTGCTGGGGGTGGAGAGGGGGGTGGCGGCTGAGAACAGTGTGTCCATGGCCCCCATCAGCTCCAGCAGGTCCTTCATGTACAACATCTCATTACCCAGCACCTCCTTCAGCTGCCCCAGCTGGTTGTCCAGCTCCGTCCCTTGTCCAATCTGGTCCGAGTACAAGTCTGCAACACCACAGGGGATACATACAAGTGATGGGTTAGAGAATCAATGGTCATTGGAAGTAACTGATGTTTTACACTGCAGTCAGAGATTATTCACAGGTGGCCATACTATTGGTTGACTCCATGAGCAACGTCCGGGACTATTGGAGTGGGAGTGAGTATGGATTTACGCCACTTTTAGCAATATTCCAGCAACATCACGGCAGGGGACATCAGAAATGGGCTTCACATATTGTACCCATTTTGGGAATCAAACCTGGGCCTTCAGCATGACAAGAGAGCACTTTCACCACTAGGCAACCTCACCGCCCCTGGAACTATTGGAACATGACATACACTCAGCCAAGTCACACAGCTAATGCAGACACCCAATCATCAAAAGTCATTTTTCTTCACTTAAAATTATGATTCTTCACTTGCGGAATTCTGGAGCAGGGGTGCATGCACTCTACCATTTTGATCAGATACCTAACACAGTACCTGCATCTTTGGCACTTTAAGACTATGACTTTATGTGCACCTCACTCACTCTTGTTCTAACTTCGCCTGTATTTGTTATCCACAGTCTTGGCAGTCCAATACCTGGACATATCAGCTCCCCAAATCCCACTCCAATCAACTTCTAACAGTTGTTTAGAGTGTCAAAAGTCATGGGTACCAATGTTTGTAAAAACAGTGAGGGAGTGAAGTCTTACCAATAAGGAGATTGGCCACATCAGTGAGGGTGTGAGCAAACCTCTGATCTGTGATGTTTCTGGAAGATCAATAGCAGTAGGTGGTGAAACTCTCAAAGCACAATTATACATGAAAATAATAGTGCCATCCGTCTAGGCTGAGATTGTGTGTATATTATAGTAACTATACACTCAAGTCTCATTTACATAAACATAAATTCCCAAAGTTGAATTTTATGGAACTATTCTGTAGCCATCTTTGTCACCTGGCATAGTTACCTTCCCCAATTGTTGGTAAATGCACAGGATGCAACAACTAAACTGCCTTAAAACCTGTTTTAAGTATTTAATGTTTTTGGTCATTTTAAATTATTGAACACACTATTGGTTTTACCTCCTGATGAATTTGATGACAGTCTTGAGGTATGACGGAGGTCTTCCTGCCAGTGCTGCCCAAGAGTGCTCCACGACCTAACCAGCTCCTGGATCACACTCACTGTGATCTCCGGGCTTGTCAAACAGCCAGCTTGGGCTGCAACAACACCACTAAACATCAACATCCATACTTCATCATAACGTAATGATAATCACAGGAACTATAAGGATGAATGAATTTAGAAAAAGAAGATCACAAACATGAAGCGAAGTTGTGACAAAATGATACCAGAACCGCAATTTGTTTTGCACAAACTACCATTCCTTTCATGGCTGTTGTTTTCATTATACATTCTTTCAATAAAGCTAATATTTTATTAATAAAACGTAGTCTTCTATTGTACATCAGAAAGATAACAGCCTTAATGATTTTTTCACAATTTCAAGCTGCTATATTTCGTTGACACATTATAACAAAGGCTACCAGGTCTGAGTGAAATTAACAAAGTTAAGGAAAGAGTAGGCTGAGAGGTATGCATGGGCCTTCAGTTCAGTACTCACATTGAAAGCTGCATCCAGCCTTTAGAGTACTGGAACTTCCTGAAGTATAGATCATACTTGGCAAGGTGCTGCCCTCTCCTCTTGTGTTCCACCACCAGGTCAGCCCTGCAAACAACATCACAATGTAAGGAACATCACAATGTAAGATTCTCTACATACACAACATCACACAGCATAGCTTTGTATGTAACTATCACAATGTAAGGATCAGTACATACACAACATCACAATGTAAGATTCTCTACATACACAACATCTTTTTACAGCATAGTTACATTGCATAGCTTTGTATGTACAAACTATCACAATGTAAGATTCTCTACATACACAACATCACACAGCATAGCTTTGTATGTACAAACTATCATGTAAGATTCTCTACATATCACACAGCATACTTTGTATGTACAAAACATCACAATGTAAGGATCAGTACATACACAACATCACACAGCATAGCTTTGTATGTACAAACTATCACAATGTAAGATTCTGTACATACACAACATCACACAGCATAGCTTTGTATGTACAAACTATCACAATGTAAGATTCTCTACATACACAACATCACAGGCTATAGCTCTTACACAACATACATACACAAACTATCACAATGTAAAGATTCTCTACATACACAACATCACACAGCATAGCTTTGTATGTACAAACTATCACAATGTAAGATTCTCTACATACACAACATCACACAGCATAGCTTTGTATGTACAAACTATCACAATGTAAGATTCAGTACACACACACACAGCATAGCACAAACTATCACAATGTAAGATTCTCTACATACACAACATCACACAGCATAGCTTTGTATGTACAAACTATCACAATGTAAGATTCTCTACATACACAACATCACACAGCATAGCTTTGTACACAAACTATCACAATGTAAGAACATACACAACATCACAATGTAGCATAGGTACAAACTATCACAATGTAAGATTCTCTACATACACAACATCACACAGCAATGTAAGACTATCAATGTAAGACATACACAACATCACACAGCATAGCTTTGTATGTACAAACTATCACAATGTAAGATTCTCTCATACACAACATACATACTTTGTAACAAACATCATCTACACAGCATAGCTTTGTATGTACAAACTATCACAATGTAAGGATCAGTACATACACAACATCACACAGCATAGCTTTGTATGTACAAACTATCACAATGTAAGATTCTCTACATACACCAGTCTCTGTTTATACTCAACATTCACTCCATAAATCATACCATGAATGGTCACAGAGGATACATCCACATATTGACCAACAGTTCAGGGGTAGACTAGTATCCCCTCCATACAGGACATATACAAGGATTTAACTCCTGTTATGAAGCTACATCGGTATCCCCCTTATGTGTATGACAAACATGGATTCTACTACAGTTCTGGATTTTGAAATGTAATGCCAACCCCAGAGCACACACAGATTTTACTACACTTCTAAAACTAAATTATCGAATATAAATGTTTGAAGCCATCTTGATATTAAAGTCTCGTAAAATGGAACCACAATCTGCTGATTACATTAAATAGAGAATATTGTGAGTGACCATGTCATACTATGTTTACTTACACAAGAGCCTAAATGTTGACATTTCCTGAGCGAGAGCAAGGGATATACCGATATTTAGGGCACGAGTGTCGTAAAACATAGTATGATATGGGCATGAATATAATATTCTATTTTATTACTGAAGTTGTCAAATTCAGGAAAATAAACCCAAATCTACTTTCAAACATAGGCTGGCTACCTGCCATCGCCTGTAGAACTATAACATCATAGAAGAAACGATAGCGTCATAGCATTGTTCATGACATCACGTCACCATGACAAAGTGATATTTTGCCCTAGGGCATCATATGAAAAATATGAACCCGATGTTTTCCAGCCCTGGTAGGTAATAAATGGTTTTATTACCCTTCATCAGACACTACATAACATAATGTATCAATCAGAATCAGTCATTCAGGAGCAACATCTGGTACAGTTTATCAACACAGGTATGAAACAGCTTCATCAAAGGAATATCTACACACTTACTAAAAGCCAAACACAAATCCAATTTGCATGATAACAGTCAAATATCAATGATCCTGGTCAGGCGATGCTGCTGGCAAATATGTGTTAAATATCTGACAAGCTTCATAAAAGCTCTTTTTCAGTAATTGGTCTCATGCAGTGCAAGAACAGAGTTGTCTCCCATGGACTACAGCCTCACGTTGACTGCCTCTTGTTTGTCAGAGTCCAGGTACTGCTGGGGAGACACATCCAAGATATAACAGATTCAGCAAACTTTGTTATGCAAAGGATTTTCTAGAAGTGATTGACAAAGGGAAAATGAAATGGCTGATATTCTTTTCCTCAGCCACACATTATTCTCATTTTGATTTCCACGAGTCAGAATTTACTTCTTTCTTCTCAAGCATTTCCTTTACTTCAGTTGTCTGGAAAGGTCAGAACTTTCTTGACCACCACATGAGCTGAAGTGTATTGTCATATAGAAATAACATCTCTAACCCATGACATCTCTACTGAGTCTGAAGGGGTCGTTGTCGGCACAGGTACTATTGATATGTACCCCAGGTACGCTTCTGTACACAGACATGTACCCTAAACAAAAGTCAAAATACAGAAACGCATTACCTGGTAAACCCTAAACCATATTCTGTAATCCAAAACAGAAACCGTGATGTCGTTGTTCCCTTTCAACTGATTCGTGAGTGGTATTGTGCCCTGAGAAATATTCGTTACAGTGTATGGTCGTTTCTTATATAATGAAATTATATGCGTCTAATACAACATTATGAGAGTTCCGATCAAGAAAGCGAAAGAGTGCAGAATGGAATCCTCAAAGGTTACGGTTCTGCATTCTGATTTTGACTTGGGCACATTTCTGTATCCAGAAAGTACCTGGGGTACACATCTGAAGTACCCGAGCCGACAACGACCCCTTCAGCTCTACTTAGAGCCAGAAGTCTTCTGCTGCAGTCAGGTTCACACACTGGGTGTTGTTAATTGACAAATACTGGACATCAAGAACCAGAACTTAATGTGTTCATGAAAGGGGAGATACTGCTTTACTAAGTGTGGTATTTAAGTAGATTTACAATGAACATCATCCATGGCTTTCATGTGAAAGTGCAGTCACATCCTGGAAATAGTTTTACACTAAATGGAGTGTAATGCAGTCCAAGACCCAGGCTGTTAACAACCACTTCAACAAATACATAGAAGACTACATTAATGTTTGTTCATTTGACCTACACAGAAAACCTGAAAATGAGGAGATAACACAGAGTGAGCTTTCCTGGGTGAAACATATACTTAATGGGCTGATAATCCTGAGTCACTTAACTAAGTGTCAGAGCAACTTCTCTCAAAGCTGCCGCCGCCCGCCACAACGTTCCAGTGTGCAGTTGGAACCTGCATTCTCCACTCAACTCGGGAGTATTTACAGCAAACTGCCTGTTTATAGTATCAGAAGGTTCTGCTTCCACCTGACTCTGATCCAGCAATGAAAGCTGCTGGATGAACAGAAACACACAGACAACAACAATTCTTGTCGAAGGAGACACCATGTTTCACAAAACCTGTGTATCAGTAGAAGGCAGAACATCAGCCAGAGACTCTCAGTAGTCAAGCTTACCGAGAACACCAACATCCACTTCTGCCCAGCACCAACCCTTATCACACACACATCCATCTACCTACACCCCAACCCTTACCAACACACACAGACATCACACACACATCCATCTACCTACACATGGACATCTACACACATACATCCAGCTACCTACACACACACATCTACCAACACACACAGACATCTACACACACACATCCATCTACCAACACACACATACATCTACACACACATCCATCTACCTACACACAGACATCTACCAACACACACACACATCTACACACATACATCCATCTACCTACACACAGACATCTACCAACACACACATTCATCTACACACACATCCATCTACCCACACAGACATCTACACACACATTCATCTACCAACACACACATTCATCCATCTACCAACACACACATTCATCTACCAACACACACATTCATCTACCAACACACATTCATCTACCCAGGCACATCTATCTTAAACAATTAATTCCTTCTTTTTCGACAAAATTAATGCTCATTAAAGTGTTCTTTCAGCTTTCTTGATTTTGTACATATGACATGAATAGTCTTAAATATTGATGGATATATTTAACTTTTACAAAAATAATTTAATGCCATAATCAGTTTCAGTTTTACTTTTTTCATTTCAAAGAAAACTTTAGAAAGTTGACAGAGCAACAGTGATCAACCCCAGGGACTAAGTTGTCCTGTCAATCCTGATCAAGTAAGAATGCTCACACTGTGGTTCAGTAAACTCTTGTACCATTTCCTATACACAATCACATAAAGAATGTAAAGAAAAATTCAATGATAAGATGTAGTTCATGAAAAAATGGCATTCCAAGAGAGCAGAAATACAACCACTGAAGATGATAACAAAAATACAGTTTTCAGTTTTCCTTTCTATTTGTTTTGTGTGAAGCAAGCCAATGCCAAGGAAACGCTTCAGTGACAAACAATTAACCCTCGTGACATTGTGCACAGGGCTCCATGAACGTAAACCCATCTGAGAACAGTTTCTCAACAGCTGCTCCTCGATTCCAAAACATGAAACTGTTCTTTCCTTTCAGAAATCTCTGAATGCATCCCCTACAAACCTTTATATACCCTGTTCCCATCCACATTAATTTGACAACACTGGTAGCAGTCTATCACTACACTTTTATCTTAAACATTGTCTCTCACATAGACATGAAATACATGACAACCACATGCCCTGCATGCTTGTCCATACTCCAGGCAACAACGTGCACATCAACTACTGTGTTTCAACTACACTACAACACCATGCATGCTTGTCCATACTCCAGGCAACAACGTGCACATCAACTACTGTGTTTCAACTACACTACAACACCCTACATGCTTGTCCATACTCCAGGCAACAACGTGCACATCAACTACTGTGTTTCAACTACACTACAACACCCTACATGCTTGTCCATACTCCAGGCAACAACGTGCACATCAACTACTGTTTCAACTACACTACAACACCATGCATGCTTGTCCATACTCCAGGCAACAACGTGCACATCAACTACTGTGTTTCAACTACACTACAACACCATGCATGCTTGTCCATACTCAGGCAACAACGCGTGCACATCAACTACTGTGTTTCAACTACACTACAACACCATGCATGCTTGTCCATACTCCAGGCAACAACGTGCACATCAACTACTGTGTTTCAACTACACTACAACACCATGCATGCTTGTCCATACTCCCGGCAACAACGTGCACATCAACTGACTGTGTGAGGACAGTGATTTAAACCATCATTATTGACTTTCTTCCAATAATGTCATTTCCCATTACACAAGACTAAACACAGTACCATTTATCTGCATTCCACAAAAACAATTCCTACAATTGCCATTTTAGAAGTAATACTATCAATGAAGATTTTATTTCAAATATTGAATCTAAACTTTCAGTGTTTTGCTAGAGATGGGAGTGCTTTTATTAAGCAAGTGATCAAGACCTGGGTAGGAATGGGTCATTAAAGACTTCATGATCTTCATCCCTACATCTGTAACCTATGTGTGTTGATCTCTAGGAGGTAAATCTTGGGAATATAACTACATTCTATCAAGTTGTTGATCACTTGCTTCATAAAGGTACCGGGTACCGGGTATTGGTCACACTGAACACGGGAAGAAGATGAAGTTCATCTCCATACAGTGTCATCTAAGGCTGCTCCCACTGTGCATGTCAAGTGCATGAATAGCCAAGCCTAAGATAGCATAAATCCAACAGCAACTATATTCTGTACGAAGAACTGTATGCTGACCCCAAAAGAAAGTTTCAACGGTACATGACAGATCCCATGCAATGTACAACACAAATTTCAAGTACTGCATCAATACTCCTTAATGAGGAATGTTCAACATGTGCTTCAATGGCTGCATCGATACTCCTTAATGAGTAATGTTCAACATGTGCTTCAAGTACTGCATCAATACTCCTTAATGAGTAATGTTCAACACGTGTTTCAAGTGCTGCATCGATACTCCTTAATGAGGAATGTTCAACATGTTCTTCAAGTACTGCACCAATACTCCTTAATGAGTAATGTTCAACACGTGTTTCAAGTACTGCATCAATACTCCTTAATGAGTAATGTTCAACATGTTTCAAGTACTGCACCAATACTCCTTAATGAGTAATGTTCAACATGTGTTTCAAGTACTGCATCAATACTCCTTAATGAGTAATGTTCAACACATGTTTCAAGTACTGCACCAATATGCTCCTTAATGAGTAATGTTCAACATGTGTTTCAAGTACTGCAATAATGTTCAATCAACACCTTAATGAGTAATGTTCAACACATGTTTCAAGTACTGCATCAATACTCCTTAATGAGTAATGTTCAACATGTGCTTCAAGTACTGCACCAATACTCCTTAATGAGTAATGTTCAACACGTGTTTCAAGTACTGCACCAATACTCCTTAATGAGTAATGTTCAACAATACTCCTTAATGAGTAATGTTCAAGTTTCAAACTGCACCAATACTCCTTAATGAGTAATGTTCAACACGTGTTTCAAGTACTGCACCAATACTCCTTAATGAGTAATGTTCAACACGTGTTTCAAGTACTGCACCAATACTCCTTAATGAGTAATGTTCAACACATGTTTCAAGTACTGCACCAATACTCCTTAATGAGTAATGTTCAACACATGTTTCAAGTACTGCACCAATACTCCTTAATGAGTAATGTTCAACACATGTTTCAAGTACTGCACCAATACTCCTTAATGAGTAATGTTCAACACGTGTTTCAAGTACTGCACCAATACAATAATAATGTTAATCAAGTAATGTTCATGCATGTGTTTCAAGTACTGCACCAGTACTCCTTACTCCTTAATGAGTAATGTTCAACACATGTTATTTACTTACCAATACTCCTTAATGAGTAAATATGTTTCAAGTACTGCACCAATACTCCTTAATAGTAATGTTCAACACGTGTTTCAAGTACTGCACCAATACTCCTTAATGAGTAATGTTCAACACGTGTTTCAAGTACTGCACCAATACTCCTTAATGAGTAATGTTCAACACTTGTTTCGTGTTTCAAGTACTGCACCAATACTGTTTCAAAGTACTTAATGATGAGTAATGTTCAACACATGTTTCAAGTACTGCACCAATACTCCTTAATGAGTAATGTTCAACACGTGTTTCAAGTACTGCACCAATACTCCTTAATGAGTAATGTTCAACATGTGTTTCAAGTACTGCACCAATACTCCTTAATGAGTAATGTTCAACACGTGTTTCAAGTACTGCACCAATACTCCTTAATGAGTAATGTTCAACACATGTTTCAAGTACTGCACCAATACTCCTTAATGAGTAATGTTCAACACATGTTTCAAGTACTGCACCAATACTCCTTAATGAGTAATGTTCAACACGTGTTTCAAGTACTGCACCAATACTCCTTAATGAGTAATGTTCAACACGTGTTTCAAGTACTGCACCAATACTCCTTAATGAGTAATGTTCAACACATGTTTCAAGTACTGCACCAATACTCCTTAATGAGTAATGTTCTGCACATGTTTCAAGTTACTGCACCAATACTCCTTAATGAGTAATGTTCAACACATGTTTCAAGTACTGCACCAATACTCCTTAATGTAAGTAATGTTCAGTACTGCACAATGTTTCAAGTACTGCACACACTTAATGAATGCTCACTTAATGAGTAATGTTCAACTATTTAATACAAATGAGCGTGAAATATTTCCAGAGTATTTGCAGAAAGCCAACATATAAGCTTTAATATGCTGCCTATGTTGCACCATATACAGAAACACTAGAAAGAAGTGGCATTCAAAATTGTTTTAGAGTTATGATCAATCATGTAGAACCATTTAAGATTTTTGGGATAGCCAAATGAACTGCACCTGAAATACCAGGCTGTTTAATGAAACCACTATTAGCAAAAGTACATACTCTTACACACTCTTGTCACCATGACAATTTCACCCTGATGCTAATGACATGCTGCACATGTTGGGCATGTTACTTTCAACTCCTTCCTAACAAATTACAACAAAGTACTTTACAGAGTTTGTTTGATGTCAGAGTAATTTGCTGGTGAAAGGTTTTAATAATGTAATCTACAGCATCACTGAGTAATATAATTTAAACAGTGTTGACACATACTGTATTATCAGTGGCAGTGTGGATGATGGGACTTAGCTCACCTGACCCAGAGAGTTCAAGCACATCAGACACAAATTAAGGTTGTCCATGGTGACAATTTGAAATTAAGTGAATGTGACTGACGCTGGTTTATTAGATTATTTCAGTTGCATCACAGCATGTCAACTTCAAATGGGCTGAAAACTAGAAGTGATACACTTGATACCACTTGAGCACCACCAGCAAACGTATGGGGACCAAACAAGGATTACAATGAGGGATTCAAACCAGCGATCATCTGATTCTGGCTTGACTAACGGGAACAGCTCTGGACATCATATTATACCTATTTCCAAAGGCAATTATTTTAACCTCTGACACTGCCTGAACCTGAGAGGTCTGTTGACAGGACCTGAACCTGAGGTCAGTTTGACGGGACCTGAACCTGTGATGTCAGTTGACAGGACCTGAACCTGAGAGTCCTGTTGACAGGACATGAACCTGAGAGGTCAGTTGACAGGACCTGAACCTGAGAGTCCTGTTGACAGGACCTGAACCTGAGAGGTCAGTTGACAGGACCTCAACCTGAGAGGTCTGTTGATAGGACATGAACCTGAGAGGTCAGTTGACAGGACCTCAACCTGAGAGGTCAGTTGACAGGACCTGAACCTGTGACATCTGTTGAGAGGACCTGAACCTGAGAGGTCAGTTGACAGGACATGAACCTGAGAGGTCAGTTGACAGGACATGAACCTGAGAGGGTCTGTTGACAGGACCTGAACCTGAGAGGTCTGTTGACAGGACCTGAACCTGAGAGGTCTGTTGACAGGACCTCAACCTGTGATGTCAGTTGACAGGACATGAACCTGAGAGGTCAGTTGTGGGACCTGAACCTGAGAGGTCAGTTGACAGGACCTGAACCTGAGGTCAGTTGACGGGACCTGAACCTGTGATGTCAGTTGACAGGACCTGAACCTGAGAGTCCTGTTGACAGGACATGAACCTGAGAGGTCAGTTGACAGGACCTGAACCTGAGAGTCCTGTTGACAGGACCTGAACCTGAGAGGTCAGTTGACAGGACCTCAACCTGAGAGGTCTGTTGATAGGACATGAACCTGAGAGGTCAGTTGACAGGACCTCAACCTCAGAGAGGTCAGTTGACAGGACCTGAACCTGTGACATCTGTTGAGAGGACCTGAACCTGAGAGGTCAGTTGACAGGACATGAACCTGAGAGGTCAGTTGACAGGACCTGAACCTGAGAGGTCTGTTGACAGGACCTGAACCTGAGAGGTCTGTTGACAGGACCTGAACCTGAGAGGTCAGTTGACAGGACCTCAACCTGTGATGTCAGTTGACAGGACAGGACCCTGAACCTGAGAGGTCAGTTGACAGGACATGAACCTAAGAGGTCAGTTGACAGGACCTGAACCTGAGAGGTCTGTTGACAGGACCTGAACCTGAGAGGTCAGTTGACAGGACCTGAACCTGAGAGGTCAGTTGACAGGACCTGAACCTGAGAGGTCTGTTGACAGGACCTGAACCTGAGAGGTCAGTTGACAGGACCTCAACCTGTGAGGTCTGCTGAAAAAACATGAACCTGTGAGGTCTGCTGAAAAACATGAACCTGTGAGGTCTGCTGAAAGAACATGATGTAATGAGGTCAATGTGATCACAACGACAAGAAAGGAGCGTAGCTCACCTGGTGTGGCATGTGGGTCTTCCCTGCCAGTGTGTAGCGGAAGGAGGCTTTCTTCTTCTTCTTGACCAACACTTCCCCTTCGTCTTTCTTCCTCTTCTTGATAGAGAGAAGCCCATCAGCCATCCCAACCACCACCAGACTGTCATCGGGCTGCAGTGAAACACACACACAGTTATACATACAGTCAGCAGACTCTCATCTCTACACAAACCAGCCAAACCTAGAATCACAAACATTATAAGTTGTTCACTGGTCACAAGGGGGACATGGGTTGATGTACCCTCGATGTTTGTGTATGTTCCCTGAGCCCGAACATAAAGAAACATCGAGGGTACATCAACCCATGTGCCCCGAAGGACCAGTGAACAATGTATTTATCTTACCGAACACCTCAATGGTAATTTTGAACTGTTTGAAGCACGGGTATCGGATCATAATAGGGAGTACCAGATGACAAGACAACAAGAAAAACAAATTTAGAATTATATCCCTTTCATCGACTTGCATTCGAAAAACAATGATAATTTCCGTACATCATACATGTGATTCAATGTTATTCGAGATAAAGAATTACTACCACGAAGTACCAAAAGAGTTCGGCATTCCCAGCGGGGTACATAGAAAATGTTACTCGCTTGTAAGCAGGGTACATTGAAAATAATAGAACCAGCCAATCAGAAAACGGCATTTATGTGTGAGGCAAGATAAATTTATATATGCACTAGAAGTCAGAGATCAGCCAATTATTTCATATTGTCAAATATAAACATATGAAAGAATCTGGTGTTCCCTTACATGTTTTGAGTAGTACACAACAGCAAATATATTCATTTGTACAGATTGTACAGTTCAATACAAAACACATCAGTATAGGTATGGGTATGTTATACAATCACACAATGAGTTCTGTTTCCAAAGGCTCGAGTCAAGTCTTCCCCATGAAAATAAACAATGCAGTTTTTGACTCTCATAAAAAAATAACATCTTTTCCAGACCGAGGGGCACATATTACGCTCAAGTGTGCATTATACAAGAAAAAACTTAATATCTTGCACTGGATTGTGTGATCCTCGACACAATGTTTACACACCGCTGCCTTAAAGCTGAAACACTGATGAGTGCAGTGTTAAGAAATACAGATATTGGTATATCAAACCGATGGTCGGGTTTCTCAATGTCTACATCTGTTTTGACTGTAACTATTTTCCATTCAGGTTTGCTTAGTCCTAACAAATGCAGTAGCTGACAAGTCTCAAAAATCAGGAACATAATTTAAAGAGTACACAGATAGCACCTTAAGGTTTAAATAAGGATATTTTGAGGTACAACAATGCTGTAGATCCACAGACTGAGATGCTTGTTGCCTGGCGTATGTTGACACACCTGCCACGTGTAAATAACAGCGCTGTTTCCTCTCACTCACAAGTAATAAATCATGTTCTGTTCACAATCCTCCAAACTTCTGGAAACACATTCAGTTACATACATTATTCCTTAATAGTTAAACAGCAATACCAGACTATCATATATGCAACATCTGAAATGCCATTACAATAGTTATAGTACTAAAATCACTTAAGAAAGTAACATTCTTTATGGATAACAACTTCTTTATTACATATGATGCCACTTTTCGGTATGGATTCTTATATTATTGTCAAGCACGAGTGAAGTACTGACTGACTGACTGACTGACTGACTGACTGAGTTTGGTTTTACGCCGCTTTTAGCAATATTCCAGCAACATCACGGCTGGGGACACCAGAAATGGGCTTCACACATTGTGCCCATGTGGGGATTCGAACCCGGGTTTTCCGTGTGACGAGCCAACGCTTAACCATTAGGCTACCCCACCGCCCCGTGAAGTACTGAAGTACTTAAGCCCTTATGTACATCAACAGGGATAAAGTAATATATATATCGCATCATATATAATAAAGAAGCTGTTATTCATAAAGAATCTTACTTTCTTATTACTCACCAACTTCTAGAATGCCAATCAAACAGATAAAATCACTTAAATAAGTTACAAATGAATGTTTCGTTAATGTTTAAAAACTGTAAAGAGATATGGTGAATGTAAAACAGTTAAAGGCATGATTTTACTTCAGGTTTTAGCTTCTAGTTTACTATAATTCTAGAAATATGTCATCACTGGATTTGTTTCAACTAGTCAGAGAAAAGTAAAAACAGTACACTTGTGAAAGTATTTCCATTCTCTATGACTGACATGTAGACATATATCAAAATGTTCTTATCATGAACTCTACAAAATATGTCAATATGATAATGAATATCTGCTGTAAAGAAACTCCAGAATACATTGATAGACGAAAACACCATCTATGTTTATGATGAACGTCTGTATGCCCACACATCTCAAACTTCAAGTATGTGCAACATCCTCATCAAAGAATCTAGTTCTAAACCCTGCTCTTCACGAGACATCTTTCACACAAATATCTCTTTCAAGCTTCCCAATCTGTCAAATACTGTGAATCATTTTTTCAAAAATATGTAAACTAACTGAAAACAAGAAAAAAAAAGACTTCTTAATGATGGATAGAAAATTATATGGCAAAAAACACTTCCTTAATTTCTGTCACACTGCAATAAACATCAACTTCTGTTTAACTAATCTAAAATTTGTATTTCATTTTGAAAAAAGAATAAAATTCTGCGTAAATGAACTATGAAGGCACAAACAGCTAATTATTTCCCAATATCACACAAGTAGTTGAGTTGAAGCACGGAGATAATGAAAAGATCTGCAAGAAACATCACCACCATAAATTAACTTTTCCAAAGGAAGCATGATGGCTTAACTACAAGTATGTTTTGACATTGGAGGTGTGGCACATGCGGACTTTTGCCACCATGATGGAGTGAGCCAAGACTTCAAGTTACCCTAGGACTCTATTTACCCACAAATAATTCCTCAAGGTGTCTTGTACACACAACAAAAGACAGCTGGCTTCACGTTCATATATACAAGGAAGCTTCTTGATATTTGACAGAAGTATTACCCACCTCTCCATATAAACATGACACATGCAGTGATATTGGACACTGGAAATATATATAGAAATATATGCTAAACTGTACTCTCAGAGAAACAGTTAAATAAGATAAGTCTAAATATGCATGGCTGTATAATGAAAGGATAGGCAAGAAGGTATTTAAAAGTCTCTATTGAAGAAGTTATTTATTAAAGCATATTACTGTATGTGATTTGAGTTTGATTTCAGCATTACTGCTTGATAAACAAACTTTGTTATCCCCGTTGAAATTAACAAGAGCTTCTTGTTTCAAAATGACCTGACAGGTATGAGAAGTATTAGCTGCTTTCAACCTTAATATTTTTGAGAAAAAGAACCAATTGCCAACATCAAATAAATCTCCAGATGATAAATAATAATGGTAAGTATTACAGAAACAACTTCCAAGGATCCCACAAAATAAATAGATATATCCCTCTGGAAAAACTGTATACTACTTCAATCACAGGGTGTTGACCCTTCTTCACAAAATACGTAAGTTATCTTAATTTGGAACATAAATCATACAAATAAAACTCATGAAACATATTGCTGGGAAAAGAGAAATATTTCTGAATATATTCCAAGAATTCCACAAGAGCATCCCCAACTGAGAGTATGCGACTTGTCAAAGGTTTGACCAACTGAATGTGGGTTGCACACGTAGTTTGACATTCATTTAAAAAAATAGGAGAAAGATTGAGTGATGGAGACAGGATATTTTTTCTGTTACAGCAGCAAAACCAGATGTTTTTTTAATCAAAACTATGACCCTAAATTATAAAAAATTACAAACATCTAAAAACAATGTATTTTATGTGGCAGACAATTTCTTTTTTTCAGTACCCTGAAGTATAATGATTTTTTTCTATCATTTTCTTGGAGAATTTATTCTGTTGATCAAATCCCAAGCCCCCAAACCCAGTGTTAAGCATCTGCCCATAGCCCCATGGCAGGTTCATCTTGTGCCAGGACTGTAGGTTAACATTCACTTCCTTCCTTATGGAAGGCAGAGAATTTTAATGTCTACATACTTGTCACAATGAATGTTTTGGAGCTTGCTTTTTAATACAAATTGAATATGTTTTCAGGATCAAGAAATCCAGCAGGCTGTTGATCTCTACAAAACTGAAATAACAAAAGATCAGAGATGACCTTGCTGAACCCAAATTACAGGTTTCCGTCAACTTGGACTAGTGTTGGTGTCGCGGAAGAATTTAGTCTGTAGCTTCTACAGTCTGTAGGCCCTGATGGCAGCCATGTATATTTATATTTATTTATTTCACAGCCCCAACTGCAAGAATGTGAAACGGCTGTCCCAAATAATACGCAGGTGATTGTACTTCAACATGGCTTATTGTATGTGATTGTACTCCAACATGGCTAATTGTATGTGATTGTACTCCAACATGGCTGATTGTACTCCAACATGGCTGATTGTATGTGATTGTATGTCAACATGGCTGATTGTATGTGATTGCACTAGAACATGGCTGATTGTATGTGATTGTACTCCAACATGGCTGATTGTATGTGATTGTACTCCAACATGGCTGATTGTATGAGATTGTACCCCAACATGGCTGATTGTATGTGATTGTACTCCAACATGGCTGATTGTATGTGATTGTACTCCAACATGGCTGATTGTATGTGATTGTACTCCAACATGGCTGATTGTATGTGATTGTACTCCAGCATGGCTGATTGTATGTGATTTTACTCCAACATGGCTGATTGTATGTGATTGTACTCCAACATGGCTGATTGTATGTGATTGTACTCCAACATGGCTGATTGTATGTGATTGTACTCCAACATGGCTGATTGTATGTGATTGTACTCCAACATGGCTTATTGCATGTGACTGTACACCATCATGGATGATTGTATGTGATTGTACTCCAACATGGCTGATTGTATGTGATTGTACTCCAACATGGCTGATTGTATGTGATTGCACTCCAACATGGCTGATTGTATGTGACTGTACACCATCATGGATGATTGTATGTGATAGTACTCCAACATGGATGACTGTATGTGATAGTACTCCAACATGGCTGATTGCATGTGACTGTACTCTAACATGGCTGATTGTATGTGACTGTA